CCAATCTCACACTTTGGGGTTTTTTACCCGTGAATCTTCACTTTGCGACTAAACTATTCACAGCAGTGCCAAATTTTTGGGGTCACTGAATGTGGGTGCCAGCGCCCTACAAGCAAACCAAAAGTCAAATCAATGCGACCACTGACATTACAGCTGGGTCATGTTATAGAGAGGTACATTGAAATTCAAAGGTCAGCACAAATGGTCAAAATCCGACATTTTCTCACCTTCCTGCCCGTTCACAGCTCAGAAAATGACAATGACCAGCCTCATCTCGTTGTGCAGCTGGACATAGACAAGTGAACCAAGAAAAAGACCCACACTTCTCTAAGGAACTTGCCCAGGGCTGCTGAAAGCTGAAAAATAACCAATCTCACAGTTTGGGGCTTTTTACCCGTGAATCTTCACTTTGCGACTAAACTATTCACAGCAGTGCCACCTTTTCTGGGTCACTGAATGTGGGTGCCAGTGCCCTACAAGCAAACCAAAAATCAAATCAATGCGACCACTGACATTACAGCTGGGTCATGTTATAGAGAGGTACATTGAAATTCAAAGGTCAGCACAAATGGTCAAAATCCGACATTTTCTCACGTTCCTGCCCGTTCACAGCTCAGAAAATGACAATGACCAGCCTCATCTCGTTGTGCAGCTGGACATAGACAAGTGCACAAAGAAAAAGACCCACATTTCTCTAAAGAACTTGCCCAGGGCTGCTGAAAGCTGAAAAATAACCAATCTCACAGTTTGGGGCTTTTTACCCGTGAATCTTCACTTTGCGACTAAACTATTCACAGCAGTGCCACATTTTCTGGGTCACTGAATGTGGATGCCAGCGCCCTACAAGCAAACCAAAAATCAAATCAATGCGACCACTGATATTACAGCTGGGTCATGTTATAGAGAGGTACATTGAAATTCAAAGGTCAGCACAAATGGTCAAAATCCGACATTTTCTCACCTTCCTGCCCGTTCACAGCTCAGAAAATGACAATAACCAGCCTCATCTTGTTGTGCAGCTGGACATAGACAAGTGCACCAAGAAAAAGAGCCACATTTCTCTAAAGAACTTGCCCAGGGCTGCTGAAAGCTGAAAAATAACCAATCTCACACTTTGGGGCTTTTTACCCGTGAATCTTCACTTTGCGACTAAACTATTCACAGCAGTGCCAAATTTTTTGGGTCACTGAATGTGGGTGCCAGCGCCCTACAAGCAAACCGAAAATCAAATCAATGCGACCACTGACATTACAGCTGGGTCATGTTATAGACAGGTACATTGAAATTCAAAGGTCAGCAGCACAAATGGTCAAAATCCGACATTTTCTCACCTTCCTGCCCGTTCACAGCTCAGAAAATGACAATGACCAGCCTCATCTCGTTGTGCAGCTGGACATAGACAAGTGCACCAAGAAAAAGAGCCACTTTTCTCTAAAGAACTTGCCCAGGGCTGCTGAAAGCTGAAAAATAACCAATCTCACACTTTGGGGTTTTTTACCCGTGAATCTTCACTTTGCGACTAAACTATTCACAGCAGTGCCAAATTTTTGGGGTCACTGAATGTGGGTGCCAGCGCCCTACAAGCAAACCAAAAGTCAAATCAATGCGACCACTGACATTACAGCTGGGTCATGTTATAGAGAGGTACATTGAAATTCAAAGGTCAGCACAAATGGTCAAAATCCGACATTTTCTCACCTTCCTGCCCGTTCACAGCTCAGAAAATGACAATGACCAGCCTCATCTCGTTGTGCAGCTGGACATAGACAAGTGAACCAAGAAAAAGACCCACACTTCTCTAAGGAACTTGCCCAGGGCTGCTGAAAGCTGAAAAATAACCAATCTCACAGTTTGGGGCTTTTTACCCGTGAATCTTCACTTTGCGACTAAACTATTCACAGCAGTGCCACCTTTTCTGGGTCACTGAATGTGGGTGCCAGTGCCCTACAAGCAAACCAAAAATCAAATCAATGCGACCACTGACATTACAGCTGGGTCATGTTATAGAGAGGTACATTGAAATTCAAAGGTCAGCACAAATGGTCAAAATCCGACATTTTCTCACGTTCCTGCCCGTTCACAGCTCAGAAAATGACAATGACCAGCCTCATCTCGTTGTGCAGCTGGACATAGACAAGTGCACAAAGAAAAAGACCCACATTTCTCTAAAGAACTTGCCCAGGGCTGCTGAAAGCTGAAAAATAACCAATCTCACACTTTGGGGCTTTTTACCCGTGAATCTTCACTTTGCGACTAAACTATTCACAGCAGTGCCAAATTTTTTGGGTCACTGAATGTGGGTGCCAGCGCCCTACAAGCAAACCAAAAATCAAATCAATGCGACAACTGACATTACAGCTGGGTCATGTTATAGAGAGGTACATTGAAATTCAAAGGTCAGCACAAATGGTCAAAATCCGACATTTTCTCACCTTACTGCCCGTTCACAGCTCAGAAAATGACAATAACCAGCCTCATCTCGTTGTTCTGCTTGACATAGACAATTGCACAAAGAAAAAGAGCCACATTTCTCTAAAGAACTTGCCCAGGGCTGCTGAAAGCTGAAAAATAACCAATCTCACAGTTTGGGGCTTTTTACCCGTGAATCTTCACTTTGCGACTAAACTATTCACAGCAGTGCCACATTTTCTGGGTCACTGAATGTGGATGCCAGCGCCCTACAAGCAAACCAAAAATCAAATCAATGCGACCACTGACATTACAGCTGGGTCATGTTATAGAGAGGTACATTGAAATTCAAAGGTCAGCACAAATGGTCAAAATCCGACATTTTCTCACCTTCCTGCCCGTTCACAGCTCAGAAAATGACAATAACCAGCCTCATCTTGTTGTGCAGCTGGACATAGACAAGTGCACCAAGAAAAAGAGCCACATTTCTCTAAAGAACTTGCCCAGGGCTGCTGAAAGCTGAAAAATAACCAATCTCACACTTTGGGGCTTTTTACCCGTGAATCTTCACTTTGCGACTAAACTATTCACAGCAGTGCCAAATTTTTGGGGTCACTGAATGTGGGTGCCAGCGCCCTACAAGCAAACCGAAAATCAAATCAATGCGACCACTGACATTACAGCTGGGTCATGTTATAGACAGGTACATTGAAATTCAAAGGTCAGCACAAATGGTCAAAATCCGACATTTCTCACCTTCCTGCCCGTTCACAGCTCAGAAAATGACAATGACCAGCCTCATCTCGTTGTGCAGCTGGACATAGACAAGTGCACCAAGAAAAAGAGCCACTTTTCTCTAAAGAACTTGCCCAGGGCTGCTGAAAGCTGAAAAATAACCAATCTCACACTTTGGGGCTTTTTACCCGTGAATCTTCACTTTGCGACTAAACTATTCACAGCAGTGCCACATTTTTGGGGTCACTGAATGTGGGTGCCAGCGCCCTACAAGCAAACCAAAAGTCAAATCAATGCGACCACTGACATTACAGCTGGGTCATGTTATAGAGAGGTACATTGAAATTGAAAGGTCAGCACAAATGGTCAAAATCCGACATTTTCTCACCTTCCTGCCCGTTCACAGCTCAGAAAATGACAATGACCAGCCTCATCTCGTTGTGCAGCTGGACATAGACAAGTGCACAAAGAAAAAGAGCCACATTTCTCTAAAGAACTTGCCCAGGGCTGCTGAAAGCTGAAAAATAACCAATCTCACACTTTGGGGCTTTTTACCCGTGAATCTTCACTTTGCGACTAAACTATTCACAGCAGTGCCAAATTTTTTGGGTCACTGAATGTGGGTGCCAGCGCCCTACAAGCAAACCAAAAATCAAATCAATGTGACCACTGACATTACAGCAGGGTCATGTTATAGAGAGGTACATTGAAATTCAAAGGTCAGCACAAATGGTCAAAATCCGACATTTTCTCACCTTCCTGCCCGTTCACAGCTCAGAAAATGACAATGACCAGCCTCATCTCGTTGTGCAGCTGGACATAGACAAGTGAACCAAGAAAAAGAGCCACATTTCTCTAAAGAACTTGCCCAGGGCTGCTGAAAGCTGAAAAATAACCAATCTCACAGTTTGGGGCTTTTTACCCGTGAATCTTCACTTTGCGACTAAACTATTCACAGCAGTGCCACATTTTCTGGGTCACTGAATGTGGATGCCAGCGCCCTACAAGCAAACTTAAAATCAAATCAATGCGACCACTGATATTACAGCTGGGTCATGTTATAGAGAGGTACATTGAAATTCAAAGGTCAGCACAAATGGTCAAAATCCGACATTTTCTCACTTTCCTGCCCGTTCACAGCTCAGAAAATGACAATGACCAGCCTCATCTTGTTGTGCAGCTGGACATAGACAAGTGCACCAAGAAAAAGAGCCACATTTCTCTAAAGAACTTGCCCAGGGCTGCTGAAAGCTGAAAAATAACCAATCTCACAGTTTGGGGCTTTTTACCCGTGAATCTTCACTTTGCGACTAAACTATTCACAGCAGTGCCAAATTTTTTGGTTCACTGAATGTGGGTGCCAGCGCCCTACAAGCAAATCAAAAATCAAATCAATGCGACAACTGAAATTACAGCTGGGTCATGTTATAGAGAGGTACATTGAAATTCAAAGGTCAGCACAAATGGTCAAAATCCGACATTTTCTCACCTTACTGCCCGTTCACAGCTCAGAAAATGACAATAACCAGCCTCATCTCGTTGTTCAGCTTGACATAGACAATTGCACAAAGAAAAAGAGCCACATTTCTCAAAAGAACTTGCCCAGGGCTGCTGAAAGCTGAAAAATAACCAATCTCACAGTTTGGGGCTTTTTACCCGTGAATCTTCACTTTGCGACTAAACTATTCACAGCAGTGCCACATTTTCTAGGTCACTGAATGTGGATGCCAGCGCCCTACAAGCAAACCAAAAATCAAATCAATGCGACCACTGACATTACAGCTGGGTCATGTTATAGACAGGTACATTGAAATTCAAAGGTCAGCACAAATGGTCAAAATCCGACATTTTCTCACCTTCCTGCCCGTTCATAGCTCAGAAAATGACAATGACCAGCCTCATCTCGTTGTGCAGCTGGACATAGACAAGTGAACCAAGAAAAAGACCCACATTTCTCTAAGGAACTTGCCCAGGGCTGCTGAAAGCTGAAAAATAACCAATCTCACAGTTTGGGGCTTTTTACCCGTGAATCTTCACTTTGCGACTAAACTATTCACAGCAGTGCCAAATTTTTTGGGTCACTGAATGTGGGTGCCAGCGCCCTACAAGCAAATCAAAAATCAAATCAATGCGACAACTGACATTACAGCTGGGTCATGTTATAGAGAGGTACATTGAAATTCAAAGGTCAGCACAAATGGTCAAAATCCGACATTTTCTCACCTTACTGCCCGTTCACAGCTCAGAAAATGACAATGACCAGCCTCATCTCGTTGTTCAGCTTGACATAGACAATTGCACAAAGAAAAAGAGCCACATTTCTCTAAAGAACTTGCCCAGGGCTGCTGAAAGCTGAAAAATAACCAATCTCACACTTTGGGGCTTTTTACCCGTGAATCTTCACTTTGCGACTAAACTACTCACAGCAGTGCCACATTTTCTGGGTCACTGAATGTGGATGCCAGCGCCCTACAAGCAAACCAAAAATCAAATCAATGCGACCACTGACATTACAGCTGGGTCATGTTATAGAGAGGTACATTGAAATTCAAAGGTCAGCACAAATGGTCAAAATCCGACATTTTCTCACCTTCCTGCCCGTTCACAGCTCAGAAAATGACAATAACCAGCCTCATCTTGTGTAGCTGGACATAGACAAGTGCACCAAGAAAAAGAGCCACATTTCTCTAAAGAACTTGCCCAGGGCTGCTGAAAGCTGAAAAATAACCAATCTCACACTTTGGGGCTTTTTACCCGTGAATCTTCACTTTGCGACTAAACTATTTACAGCAGTGCCAAATTTTTTGGGTCACTGAATGTGGGTGCCAGCGCCCTACAAGCAAACCAAAAATCAAATCAATGCGACAACTGAGATTACAGCTGGGTCATGTTATAGAGAGGTACATTGAAATTCAAAGGTCAGCACAAATGGTCAAAATCCGACATTTCTCACCTTCCTGCCCGTTCACAGCTCAGAAAATGACAATGACCAGCCTCATCTCGTTGTGCAGCTGGACATAGACAAGTGCACCAAGAAAAAGAGCCACTTTTCTCTAAAGAACTTGCCCAGGGCTGCTGAAAGCTGAAAAATAACCAATCTCACACCTTGGGGCTTTTTACCCGTGAATCTTCACTTTGCGACTAAACTATTCACAGCAGTGCCAAATTTTTGGGGTCACTGAATGTGGGTGCCAGCGCCCTACAAGCAAACCAAAAGTCAAATCAATGCGACCACTGACATTACAGCTGGGTCATGTTATAGAGAGGTACATTGAAATTCAAAGGTCAGCACAAATGGTAAAAATCCGACATTTTCTCACCTTCCTGCCCGTTCACAGCTCAGAAAATGACAATGACCAGCCTGATCTTGTTGTGCAGCTGGACATAGACAAGTGCACCAAGAAAAAGAGCTAATTTCTCTAAAGAACTTGCCCAGGGCTGCTGAAAGCTGAAAAAATAACCAATCTCACACTTTGGGGCTTTTTACCCGTGAATCTTCACTTTGCGACTAAACTATTCACAGCAGTGCCACATTTACTGGGTCACTGAATGTGGGTGCCAGCGCCTCACAAGCAAACCCAAAATCAAATCAATGCGACCACTGACATTACAGCTGGGTCATGTTATAGAGAGGTACATTGAAATTCAAAGGTAAGCACAAATGGTCAAAATCCGACATTTTCTCACTTTCCTGCCCGTTCACAGCTCAGAAAATGACAATGACCAGACTCATCTCGTTGTGCAGCTGGACATAGACAAGTGCACCAAGAAAAAGAGCCACATTACTCTAAAGAACTTGCCCAGGGCTGCTGAAAGCTGAAAAATAACCAATCTCACACTTTGGGGCTTTTTACCCGTGAATCTTCACTTTGCGACTAAACTATTCACAGCAGTGCCAAATTTTGGGGTCACTGAATGTGGGTGCCAGCGCCCTACAAGCAAACCAAAAATCAAATCAATGCGACCACTGACATAACAGCTGGGTCATGTTATAGAGAGGTACATTGAAATTCAAAGGTCAGCACAAATGGTCAAAATCCGACATTTTCTCACCTTCCTGCCCGTTCACAGCTCAGAAAATGACAATGACCAGCCTCATCTCGTTGTGCAGCTGGACATAGACAAGTGCACCAAGAAAAAGAGCCACTTTTCTCTAAAGAACTTGCCCAGGGCTGCTGAAAGCTGAAAAATAACCAATCTCACACCTTGGGGCTTTTTACCCGTGAATCTTCACTTTGCGACTAAACTATTCACAGCAGTGCCAAATTTTTGGGGTCACTGAATGTGGGTGCCAGCGCCCTACAAGCAAACCAAAAGTCAAATCAATGCGACCACTGACATTACAGCTGGGTCATGTTATAGAGAGGTACATTGAAATTCAAAGGTCAGCACAAATGGTCAAAATCCGACATTTTCTCACCTTCCTGCCCGTTCACAGCTCAGAAAATGACAATGACCAGCCTGATCTTGTTGTGCAGCTGGACATAGACAAGTGCACCAAGAAAAAGAGCCAATTTCTCTAAAGAACTTGCCCAGGGCTGCTGAAAGCTGAAAAAATAACCAATCTCACACTTTAGGGCTTTTTACCCGTGAATCTTCACTTTGCGACTAAACTATTCACAGCAGTGCCACATTTACTGGGTCACTGAATTTGGGTGCCAGCGCCTCACAAGCAAACCCAAAATCAAATCAATGCGACCACTGACATTACAGCTGGGTCATGTTATAGAGAGGTACATTGAAATTCAAAGGTCAGCACAAATGGTCAAAATCCGACATTTTCTCACTTTCCTTACCGTTCACAGCTCAGAAAATGACAATGACCAGACTCATCTCGTTGTGCAGCTGGACATAGACAAGTGCACCAAGAAAAAGAGCCACATTTCTCTAAAGAACTTGCCCAGGGCTGCTGAAAGCTGAAAAATAACCAATCTCACAGTTTGGGGCTATTTACCCGTGAATCTTCACTTTGCGACTAAACTATTCACAGCAGTGCCAAATTTTTGGGGTCACTGAATGTGGGTGCCAGCGCCCTACAAGCAAACCAAAAATCAAATCAATGCAACCACTGACATTACAGCTGGGTCATGTTATAGAGAGGTACATTGAAATTCAAAGGTCAGCACAAATGGTCAAAATCCGACATTTTCTCACCTTCCTGCCCGTTCACAGCTCAGAAAATGACAATGACCAGCCTCATCTCGCTGTGCAGCTGGACATAGACAATTGAACCAAGAAAAAGACCCACATTTCTCTAAAGAACTTGCCCAGGGCTGCTGAAAGCTGAAAAATAACCAATCTCACACTTTGGGGCTTTTTACCCGTGAATCTTGTCTTTGCGACTAAACTATTCACAGCAGTGCCACATTTTTGGGGTCACTGAATGTGGGTGCCAGCGCCCTACAAGCAAACCAAAAATCAAATCAATGCGACCACTGACATTACAGCTGGGTCATGTTATAGAGAGGTACATTGAAATTCAAAGGTCAGCACAAATGGTCAAAATCCGACATTTTCTCACCTTCCTGCCCGTTCACAGCTCAGAAAATGACAATGACCAGCCTCATCTCGTTGTGCAGCTGGACATAGACAAGTGCACAAAGAAAAAGAGCCACATTTCTCTAAAGAACTTGCCCAGGGCTGCTGAAAGCTGAAAAAATAACCAATCTCACACTTTGGGGCTTTTTACCCGTGAATCTTCACTTTGCGACTAAACTATTCACAGCAGTGCCACATTTTCTGGGTCACTGAATGTGGATACCAGCGCCCTACAAGCAAACCAAAAATCAAATCAATGCGACAACTGACATTACAGCTGGGTCATGTTATAGAGAGGTACATTGAAATTCAAAGGTCAGCACAAATGGTCAAAATCCGACATTTTCTCACCTTCCTGCCCGTTCACAGCTCAGAAAATGACAATGACCAGCCTCATCTTGTTGTGCAGCTGGACATAGACAAGTGCACCAAGAAAAAGAGCCACATTTCTCTAAAGAACTTGCCCAGGGCTGCTGAAAGCTGAAAAATAACCAATCTCACACTTTGGGGCTTTTTACCCGTGAATCTTCACTTTGCGACTAAACTATTCACAGCAGTGCCACATTTTTTGGGTCACTGAATGTGGGTGCCAGCGCCCTACAAGCAAATCAAAAATCAAATCAATGCGACAACTGACATTACAGCTGGGTCATGTTATAGAGAGGTACATTGAAATTCAAAGGTCAGCACAAATGGTCAAAATCCGACATTTTCTCACCTTACTGCCCGTTCACAGCTCAGAAAATGACAATAACCAGCCTCATCTCGTTGTTCAGCTTGACATAGACAATTGCACAAAGAAAAAGAGCCACATTTCTCTAAAGAACTTGCCCAGGGCTGCTGAAAGCTGAAAAATAACCAATCTCACAGTTTGGGGCTTTTTACCCGTGAATTTTCACTTTGCGACTAAACTATTCACAGCAGTGCCACATTTTCTGGGTCACTGAATGTGGATGCCAGCGCCCTACAAGCAAACCAAAAATCAAATCAATGCGACCACTGATATTACAGCTGGGTCATGTTATAGAGAGGTACATTGAAATTCAAAGGTCAGCACAAATGGTCAAAATCCGACATTTTCTCACCTTCCTGCCCGTTCACAGCTCAGAAAATGACAATAACCAGCCTCATCTTGTTGTGCAGCTGGACATAGACAAGTGCACCAAGAAAAAGAGCCACATTTCTCTAAAGAACTTGCCCAGGGCTGCTGAAAGCTGAAAAATAACCAATCTCACACTTTGGGGCTTTTTACCCGTGAATCTTCACTTTGCGACTAAACTATTCACAGCAGTGCCAAATTTTTTGGGTCACTGAATGTGGGTGCCAGCGCCCTACAAGCAAACCGAAAATCAAATCAATGCGACCACTGACATTAC